TTTTGGGGTAAGTTACTCTTTAAATCCAAACGAGGCACTTGATATCCCACCCCCYTCCTGCTTCCACAGCAATCCATTGTAGTTTGATAGCAGAGATACAACTRTATAACGAYGCAGAAACATTTYATTTACAAATGGATTAAAAATGCCAATAAACAGAATGAAGATGATGAAATTGTAGTTGGTAAGTCCAGACCTTATTAGGCAGTTCGGTCACAAATGCTGTGACACAATAGTTCGTTTTAAAAAAGGGTAGAAAATAGAAAAAACTGCACGTGTTGAAAAATCTGACCCAAACAGAATATGAAGATATCTATACAGCACCAGGATAAATTCAAATATTCTGCACTCCTAGAGACTCCAAGTACACAACAAAATGCTTTCAATGGCTAAAAGGGTGGATTTTGCATTTGTCCCATAAAAATAATAATAATAATGTTATTCAACATGAAGTGCACCAGGTACATGTTGAAGATAAATCTCAGCTACTACTACTTAATTAAAATTTATTTCCACATCTGTAAAACAGAGTTCTAGCCATGGTTATTGGTTTTATTGGTAAAAGTAAGCAAAAGAATGTCAAAATCACCAAGCTTTGCACTACGTTTGCACAATTCTTTTCAATAGAGTTGGCCCATTTTGTTCCCTGCATGTGTGTGTGTGACAAACTCAGTCTTTCAACATGTAATATTTGGACAGGCAGATCTCTGAGAACTCTACAACAGTGTGGAGACAGCCGTCCAGTCTAATACGAGTTCAAGGCTACAGAGCTGCAGTGGTTTATCTCTGCAGGATGCAAGTGTGGAGAACCCAAAACCTGTTGGTAAAAAGGTGCATCCAGAATAATTACATGCAGCTGTGAAGACCATCAATACATCCTAGTTCTCAACTGGACAAATGCCTGTTTAAAAACACCACTTTTAGGCTAACATTGTAGGCTAAACAGGCAATGGTAGGCTAAAAACACAAAGTTTATTGATATTTTCACTCCTAGACACATTTAAAAAGTGATGCAAGTTATGTTTAGACAGCCTGCATGAATGAAATGTGGATTACTAATTAAACACATGATGCCTTGAACTGCTGCAACAGCACATATTAAGTCAAAATAATCTCTTTTATCTATAATCCTATCAGCCCAATCAGTGACAGATGTTATCAGTGGTTTGTTAAAGCAGTGTTGGTTCTGTAAAGTGGTTTAAAGGGCCTGTAAGCACCCTCCAAACAAATCTACACAATGCACGTCCTAGTGATCAATCAGCAGCTAATTTCTCCGCTTTTGGCAGTGGGGAGCTTTTTTTCGACACAACACTAGGTCTGGGACAGAAAGAGTTACACAGATTAACAACAGCCAGGCTTCACAGATTGTGGGACGCTTCCTTTTAATTTATTTAAACCTCTAGTAATCTTCCGCTTCTTAAAAATAGACTCGTTTAGTTTTCGGGGAGCGGCAATAAATAAGGAAACCCCCCGTTTTTTCCCTCCCCTCCTCTTGTCCCGTCACTTTACCTTGTTGAAAGCGAAAAGCTCCTGCTTTATCTTCTCTCGTTGCGGGTCGGTGCCCTGCCGACGAAACCTAAACTTCATCATCTTGGAGCCGGGTGGTCGGGCAAAGAAAACCCGGGAGGTAAAGGCAGATACTCGGAATGATCCGCGGCTGGCTGGRCGCAGGGCGGACGTCGCTAAGCTAGCTAACTAACGGACTAGCCTGGGGAGCAGGGCAGCAGCTTCAGCTGCAGAGACCGCTCGCTCTCTCCTCTGCCCCTCTCTCCCTCCTGAAGCTGTTCAGATCGCGGTGGAGTCTGACCACAGCCCCCTTCTTTTTCCTCGTTCACGCGAACCCCGTTATTTTTAACCAATGGGCGCAAAGAAATCTACGAGAAACCGCTCAGAAACGCCCACACAGCTCTGGACTCCGGGAGGAGGCGCTTGTTTTGAAGCACACGTAACACCGAGGAAGCGTTACAAACACAAACTCGTATCYCCGTGTGCAAACGGTAGGTCAATAATAATAAAACAAACTATTACAAGTTAACTAGCCAATGAGAGCAAGTTAATTTCCCTCATCTTTTTTTAATTCTTGCAAGTTTCACTTTATTATTCAACATGAAACGATTCAGATGTAAAATAAAAAACTAAGAACATTTGATGATTAATTGGTGAAAAGAACGCTAAATATTTGTTTTGTACATTTTGTCCTCAATTTTGTGATTTGTCTCTATATTTTGCAAGTTGTAAATGCCATTGATATTAGTTTAAGAAAAAAAACAGTTCATTCACAATCCATTAAGTTATATTAGAAACTTTATTGTTTATAAATATTCACATGCATTTGTTTTTCATTTAATATGGAAAAGTGCATTGCATTTACAAAATATGTTTTGTATAAAGAAACATTAATTTCATGAAAACAGTTATGCAATGTGGCCTCAAACTTTAAGTGCCAAAACCTGCCATATAAATCTTCTTTTCCTGTTCATACTTTCCTTGATTACATGGCAAAGAAGAAAATAAGAAATAATGGTGACTTTCTATTTTTTTAATKACAATGAACTTCACATAAACAGGAAAAGCTCATTTACACATACAGAACCAAGACCTTGAAACAATTAGTGCAACTTTAACAGGCACTCCTCTATTTGTTCTGTGCAAAACCATATTTATTTTAGTTTTAACAAATGTTGCACAAGGGTCACAGTTAATAAAATTAGTAGTATTGTTAAACATAAAATGGAGACTGAMATATTACAATCAATATCAATCTATGGCAGGCAAAATATTTCTCTCGAAAGACATCCATCTCTTGTTTGAAACGTAGTCAGATAAATTTTATGTACCAAAACTACAAAGAAAGAATCGAACCAATTAGATGCCTTTTCCCACATCACCAAAAACATGGCCTTTGCATTTCAAAATATTTAATTTTAAAAATAGAGGTAGATACAGTGCACTCATAAGGATTTAAACTGTGATTTGTGTGTAACATTTTAGATGTTTTTGCTATAGAAGGGTGATTTCACTCGGTGGCAAGGTGAGTCTCTTTTCTCGAACCGACAACATGTTTTCCATGTGCATGGCGATGACTCGACACAGCTCCAGGCCCTGCAGAGCACACCAAGATCAGCAGTAAGCAAACACCACACAGTACATATCCTCAGCCTCCTGCTCATGGTTAGCTCTGTCAAAACACACACACACACACACACACACACACACACACACACACACACACACACACCTGTTCCAGCTGCAGCTGCGTGATTCGCTGGTTGAGCAGATCTCCGATCATGATCTCCACGTAGGGGTAACTGGAGCCTGAAGTTGGTCTCTGGGTACGAGTTGACTGGACCTCCTTCAGAGGGAAACGTACCATGGCCTCCTAATTATAAACACACAAAAGTCAGTCTTAGAAATAAACATCGTGACAAATCAAATACACACTGCATAAATTAAAACAACTATTTCCTGTGGTGTTTGGTAGACATGTTAACCAGCAGAGGGAGACAATGCCTTATTTCACTCTCATTTATTAAAACTAACATTTTAATACTAAATTATTAAAAGCAAAAACTCCCAAACTTTTCAACTTACATCCCACAAAGCTTCACTATACGACAAATAACTTCTAACAAGAGAAACTACAGTTCCTGTAGAAAAACTGACTGAATGCTGTGTCCTGAATGATTTTGCTGAAATTTGTTGAAGAAGCTAAAACTTAATTATGAAAGCGAAAGAAGCTAAACCAATAAAAAGGAAGCAAAACACTAGTTAAAAACTACAAGAAGCAAAACACTAGCTAAAGGTGTGGAGTAGCAAAATCAAAAGGGTAGCTAAATGCTAAAAAAATATATATAGCATGAGGCACAGTAAAAGCTAAAATTAGTACAGGGCCAGCTAAAAGTAGCCAAAYAATTAAAAGCAGCAAATAATTCTGAAAAGCTAAAAGTAACAAAAGAGTAGCTAAAAGCTAAAATAACTAAAAGCTAGCTAAAAGCTATAGTACAAAGAAGCTAGGTAAAGGTAGTAAAACAATAGTTAAAAGCAGCAAAAGTTAGCTAAAAGCAGCAAAAAGCTAGCTAAAAGTAGCAAAACATTAGCTAAAGGCAGCTTTTTTAGCATGTTGCGAGTTAGCAGTAGTGTAAGAAAACAAAAATAGAGCTTGTTTTCTAAAGCAGAGTAACAGTGTTTTTGAAGAACTCCAAAATATTTCAGTGTAATAATGTAATGTGTCCATTTGGAAAATCTTTTAAATAAAGTTTAATATTTTGAAAAGTATGAAAGTTACT